GACTCTCTCTCTCTCTCTCTCTCTCTCTCTCTCATTTTGAAATGTACCCAAACTACCATTTTATAGGATTTCCCAGCATATAACCCATCGGATTTTCATTGCGGCTGCTGGGTCTTCACAGTTGGGATAAGATTTAAAAAAAAATAGGATCCTAAATTCATATTTAGGCACCTAAATAAATGGTGATTTTCAAAACTCTTGAGCCAACATAACTCAGCACTTTTGAAAATCAGACCTCTTATTTAGAGGCCTACATATGGATTTAGGAGACATGCTTTTGACTTCTGGTTTTGGAAACACTGTATTTTGTTATTAGTGTCAGGGTCTTTTTCTTAAAACAATTTAGGAAAAAATAAACAAAACCTCATCAAAGCACCTAGGTCTCATGTTGCTCTTTATCCATTGCTGCTTTTAACTCTCCTTCATGCTTTAAAATGCTTCTGTTCTGATTACAATGTGACCATGTGGAAAACATTTTAGCCTCAGTTAAAATTATGAGTCTGGTCAAAAAAGGCACTTTGGTATAGGTCACATTGGTACATTTGGTATAACTCTATTCTGAGTCAGAGCTGCATAATTTAGTGAAGAAAATAAGTTTGTACCGTAAACTCTTTAGCTATAGAAGAGCAGGCTGTATTCCATTCAGCCTCAGGCATTATCAACAGCATTTCTAGAGGAGTTCTCAGTCCATAATCTTTGGCATTGGTCATGACAGGAGTTGATGTATGAAGCAGGGGGATCACAGCTTGATTTTCAGATGTCCACAGGATGAGCCCACAACTAGAAAAATCTTGTCTGTTTTGTGAACTGACCTAATTTGCTCTGAAAGCCATAGCTGAAGGCTATGGAACACCAAGATGAATCACTCAATCATTTCCCTGCCTTTTAAATGTCATTATAAACCCAGCTCCCATTAAAATTACCTTTTCTCCTTTTTGTCCTGGAGGTCCCTGTGAAAGGAAAACAATTAAAAAATTAATTAAAGAGCACTGTGCCTATTAGGGGGAAAGTGCCAAAAGAAGGTAGATTTACAAGAAGGTGATAAGTTCAGCACTTACCGGCTGTCCCTTGGGACCAGCAACACCCTTTAAAAAAATACATTGTTGTGAGTTATATATATGCTTATACATTCAATGACAGGAACATTAAACATCTCAGCATGTGGCGTGTACTCAGATGGAAAAGTGGCTTTTTAAAAAGTCTTTAGCCAAAAATTTCTATGGTAGATCTCAGTTCCCCTTGCAGTGTTTCTTAAACTAGAGGAGCGAAGATGCACAAGTCCTGCAGCTTTACTGAATGGGGATGCCAACAGGAGAGTGAAAAATTAAGTAGTTATATGACAGCCGACCTCTTGGCTGACACACTGGGGACTGAAGCAGGGACCTCCAGAACCAAAAGCATGAGTTGATACTGGAGCAACTTATATTCTCTGTGGATCAGCACAAAGGGGCACCAGTAATACAGACGCACCGGAGGGTTACATATTTAATCTGCTCAAAGGATGCTCATCCTCAGCATCTGAGGCTCCCCAAATGAGCCCCCACTTATTTGATGGCCGCCATCTTGGCTGACACAGCAGGGATTGAACCAGGGGCCTCAGAACTAAAAGCATGTGCTGCTAAAACTCTCTAAGGAGGGGTTGTAACAATAGCCTCTGTGGCATGGCATGGCCCAGCAGGGGAGCTCTAACACACGCTCACCAGCGGGTTCAGCTTCACCTACAGCGTTTCTTTTTTAAGGCCTAATTCTAGCTATGTGTTGGGCACCCTCTGTTCATTTCCATAGGAACTGAGGTTGGTTAGTGTCTCTCTGCAGTTGCTCGGCACCTTGCAGCTTCACTCCTGAATAAATTAAAAGCCAAAGTCTGTGCTTGAATTCCCTCATACAATTTTCATTTGCTTAATTGAGAATCACATGTGTGCCCTCAAAGGGCAGCATTTAGTCCTACAGAAGGATGGGCTCTAACTACAGAAGCCAATGGGAGCATCCTGTGTAGGTCAGGCCCATTTTAACTCTCTATTTCCTCAGTGTGATGTTTAGGAATACTCCGGAAGCATCCTTCATGACTGGATATAGATTTATTGATTCTAATGGATTATATTAAATACAATATATTTAGCACCTTGAGCAGTCAGTTTCTGTCTGGTGCAAACAACGATATGCCCTGTGCATGCAGTATATTAATGAAAGCTACTTGAACAGTAAGGGGACACAGAAAGCAATTAATTTGCAAAGTAGTGTTAAATCAGTAATTGCTGGCCTTTGTGTCAGGTCAAGCAGGAGCTTGGTAAGGCTCTGGCTTGCCCTATTTTGACAGATTCTAGGGAGAAAAGGAAGGGAGAGATATATGTTTTACTTTAGCTTCAAGTGGAGAGTAAGAGAGAACACCTGCATTGCTTTAGTTCTCTGTCTTGCATATCAACACATGGACTTTCCTGGAATAAGCACACATAGGCAGAATAGCAGTACAGTTAACAAAATGGATATTTTTTGGAAGAACAAAAACAATAAAAACTGAGTAACCCAAAGTGCGTCCAGTTACCTATATGTAGCTGATATGGTTGCTGGCTGCAGGGATATTACTAATTGCTGGCTTTCCAAATTACTCATTTGAATAACCTTGTGAATAGTGAACTCCCTGAACCATGTGAAAATTAGAGCTGGCCAAAAAAAAAAATCGAAATTTGAAATTTTGATGAAATGAAGGAAACTAATACAGCTACATATTAGTTTTAAACATCTATATCATTGTGATTTCACAACTAAAGTTCTTCAGATATCTCAAAGTCACAAGGCCTTGTTTAGGACACCATAAAGTACATACCAAGTTGGTAGCATTAGAATGAAGCCATTTTGGATTTATCAAGAAAAATCTGAAAAATCATCTTAATAAGTGACAAATGTGCTTTTTGTTGTAGTTCAGAAAACCCAAAATCTGCTAAATGGGTTTTTATGAAACTTTCCATAAACATTCACTTCTGAGATGAGTCCAACCATGAAACATTTCAGTTCCCAAAGTATTTTTAAAGAACATACTTAGTAACCAAACATAAAGCTTAATAATGGAAATGACATTCCCATGTATAACTATAGAGTTGCTATTGTGACATGATGATACAGGTACTCATCATGTAAAAATTATAGCTAAACCTCCCAGCTTCTGCTATCATGATTTTATTATATTAGCTAGAAAGTTAGTATGTTAGCAGGAATTTGGGTGGTTAGTATGCAGAGATTACTCATTTTATTTGAGTCAAACTCTAGTTAATGCCCCCGAGGAGAACCAATACAACCCCAAACCAACCCACTGCTCCCTGAAGATACACATGTAATTTTTACCATCTCCCCCTTCTGTCCAGGATGGCCCTGAAAAGGTAAAAGAGTGTGTGTTATCATTATAGAATCAGGCCTAAACACTGCATTTACACATCCCCTTGCTGTGGCTGGTCATTTCATTTTGCTTATTCTTAGTACCAAAGAAGACATAATGTTGTACCCATGTAGCCTCACAGCAAGTGGATCATCACTCCTGATCATTCAGGTGCAAAGCACAGAAAATAAAGCTTTGCTGATGAAGAGCATGGACATGTGGTGAGGTATTTAGACCCTCCCTAGAGGTTGACAAGAAGGGGTTAATGCTCTCCTTTGGACTAGAGGAAAGAGCACAGCTGTCTGCCCTGAGTGCAGTGATGTGCAGGGTAGCAGTGCTCTGATTGATTAATTATCCCCAGCAGAGTATTAAAGGGATGCTTCTGAGAGCTGCTGAGGGATGTTTCTGGCAGTGAGATAGGATCCTTAGTATGCAGTTTGGTGCTAGGAGGAGCACTGGGTGGGGGATTGTGGTTTCTTTTTCTTTCTGAAACTTGGTTGCAGTGAACTACAGTTTAGACTTTTCTTTTGGATATGCCTGAAACAAATCATGCCATGTTTCTTGACTGTGGTTGGGAGAAACTCTGCAGTATCTGTGTTTCCCTTTTAAAGGGGCAGGACATTATTTACATTTGTTTGTCTGTTTTACAACAAAGCCCACCACAAAAGGGGCTTGAGTGCCACAAAGGTCTTCAGAATCCTTTGCTGTGCTGGCTGACCTGTTGCAATGTGGGGGAGGAATAAACCATAATGTTCAATTAATAGCTAGTCTAGGCTGCAGTGAGATGATATATGAAGCTTAGGAAACTCATTCTATTTGTCTCTCTCTCTAGCTGTAACTGCTGGAGGTGGGAACTCAATTGCTTAGTTAAGTTTAAAGGGCAGCTTCAGGGATAAGTGCTAGTTCATAGGTGAAGCAATAGGGTAACCAGAAGAGCAACATCAGTAGGGCACCTTCCATGATTTACTGATGCTCTGAAGCCTCTCCAGGGGAATTTGGTGGTGGTGTTCTCCTGCCCACAATCTTTCATATGCAAATTTGCATGCACACACTTTGCAAAATAATTCTATACAAATTAACCTATTAACAGCCTGGCTCAGAGGACAGGGGAAGTACTAGACAAAGGGAAATAAACAGGGAGAGAGAAGCTGTGAGGGAGATGTTTCACTTACTGGTTTGCCATCCAAACCAATCGGGCCCTGAAAGAAAAAAGAGAGAGCTGATGGGGAAACTAGTTCATTGGTGGTTTATGCATTTGCCCCACAAATCTGGGTGGGGACTCAGTAGCATACAGATGGATTACACAGGATATGGCAGAAAGAACAGTGAAGGAATGATGTGGCTGTGACTTTAAACAATGAATCACTTGAGATGCAGAACATAGGAGAAAGAAAGCAAATTGATTAACCCAGTGGAGTGCTGCTATGTGAGAGATTTCTTATCCTGGTCTCTCACTGGGGGTGTGTGCTGCAGAGCCAATGTACCCATCACTCAGTCCCATGGGGGAATTTCTTGCCTCAGTCACTAATGGCCTCTGGCTAATTAAGGAACTATCTTGATGGGCTCTGAATGGCCCTTGCAGTTCTCCTTGGCTAGAAGGATGCTGGCTGTGATGCAAGGGCTCAAGTGTGAGGGGCTGTGTAGGAAAAATGGGGGGTCCTCAGGACTCTGGCAGGATTACTGAGAAGTCGTGGAGAGGGGCAGAAGTGAGGGGAGAGGAAAGGATAAAATGGGAAGATGGGAGTCATGCACCAAAACACCTTTGAAAGTCTGGGCCCTGGTTTGTTTTTATTTTAACTTGATCTGGGCTTGTTTGCTCTCCTTATGCTTGGACATCAAAGTGTGGAGAGATCTGCTTCTCCTCAGTGCCTTGCTCCTACTAAAGTGAGGGTAGTTTGCAATTATTGGCCACCTTTCAGAGAGGCAGGGCAGAGAGTCCAGTGCTCAGTGAGCATGGAGACTGCAGATTCCTCATTTTTTTTGTCTCCCCCCCCTCCCAGTCCAAGGCAATTGCTCGCAGATCTGTGATTATACGCAGCAAATCCTTGAATAAAAACTACCAAGCCCTCAGCTGAACTGAGCAGGCTGGCAGAGGGGTGTGTGTGTGACAAAGATAGTTCAGTTATCAGAATAAATTAACAGAAAATACATAATGAATACAGTTTTGGAACAGAATAGATGCTGTGGACGGTGCTGCAGGACCAACCTGCCAGCAAGTGTGGGGCTGAAATGGGAATTTCTTCATCTTCAGAATCTGTTTTTCACGTCATGGCCCACTCAGGTTATATCTGTAACTTACAGTGCTGCAAAAGAAATTCCAGCCATGCTTTTACTCTCTTCCCCTCCTGTTGCCTGGGCTTTCGTCTAGCAAAGTCAATAGCTGAGCCACTCTGCACAGAGCCGGATGAATCTCAGGGGCTCTTTGTTATTACAATATCACATTGGAGTTCATTAAGGATGGAATTTTACTTACCTGGGGTTTATTTTCTTTCTTTTGGTTGTTTTGGGGTGTTTTTTACAGCACAGACCTGGCGTCAACCATGGTATTTTAACATTAGGGTTTTTAAAACATTTAATTTCCTTTAGTGTTGTATCTTTGTTTTTTAAGGCATCATTAAAAAGAAAAGAAAATAGAAATGAAACAGAAAAAAAACTTTTCAATTACATTATATTGGGTCCATGGTTTTGGATGGAAATGCTGAAAGGCACTTAGCTTTAGTGACATGAGCTGGCAATATTATACACTTGTACCTCATAGATTAACAGTTCCACTTACCGGAAATCCAGGAAAACCTCTCGTTCCAGGCTGTCCCTGAGAAGAATAAAATGGAGACAGAGAGGTTTAAAGAAATCTGAGAGCAGTGCAACATGTCTTCCTAAAATTGCTCTGTAGGGCCTCAGGGTTTGTTATTTTCCCCAACCTGATCTCTGTGTAATATCACTGCAGTTCTCAGTATAGTCACCCAAGACTCAAGTGTGTTTTAAGAAAGCAGGCTACTGGGGAGCCAGGGGAAGTCTCCAATCGCAGCTTCGTTTTGTACGGAGCCAGGACAGTGTTGGAGATGGTCCAATTTGGACTCCGAGTACTTTGTCTGAAGTTTCTAAAGTAATTAAATGGGCGTTCCTTGCTCACACGCTGGCCTTCTGGAGCATTTTCCAGCGCCTAAGCTCTCTTTATGGAAATTCCTTGAATAGCCACATGCATGGCCATAAAATGAGGTCTTTAATACTGAGTGATGTGTAGTGTAATGTGCAAACCCTTGCAGCTCACCAAGTCTATATCATCAAGACAAACTCTATGCTATTGCCCCAGTTCATTAATTTTACTCACAAAGAAAATTTTGTAGCAAAGATTCTGAAAAATAAAAAGGGATTGTATGTAAAGTGAATGGGTGATGTAAACACGCCCCTTCCCCTCTCTTCTTTTCCAATAAGTCAGTTTCTGATTGTCAATGCAAGATCTGAATCAAACAAAATGCAGCAAGTATTGGCAGATCACACAATGGAGTGACTGTCAGACTATTTGTCATTGATTCAACCACATGCAGACAATTAGAGGGTGAAAGCCTCATGGCTGCTAGTTTGCAAAACACTAAGTGCCAGAGCATAGATACCCTTAAATAAATAGAACTTATAGGATATCTGAATCCTGATTTAGCTAGCGATGTGTCAGCCATCTTGGAAAGAATAACAACAAATTTCAGTCCGATCCTGAAATTAAGCCGTTCAGATTAAAATAGTTGAATGAAGTAAATTCTGTGCCTCTCTCTTCTTCTCTGACCCCTGAAATCCATTTTGAAATTTCAATAGGTCTAGTTCTCTCTGCTGGTCTAACTATTCTCTTCAGACCTTGTGCATTCTGGGACTTCCCCGCTGGGTGAGGTGGGGAAGGGAAATACCTTCTAGGGCACTTTTAACCTAGGGAAGTCTCTAAGCATATAAGATTTGAATGAAACCACGGCTGGGACTGAACATAGAGTATGACCAGACCTTTGATCCTCACAGTGGAGTATCAGTGAAGGTTCAGGGCTGTTTAGCAGTTGAGGCGAATGACTTGGGAGCCAGATGCATATTCAGAACGAGAGAGAAGAAGTTGGGAGGTCAGGTGAAGGATCTGGCTGGGTTGGGAGAAAAAGGGGGTGCAGAGGTGCAGGGAGCAGTGGATAAGGAACCGTTCATGATTTTGGTGGGGCTCTTTGGAAATTGTGAGCCTGAGTCCTTTTTGAATTCCTCCATCACTGTAGTTAACAGTCCTATGCAGTAGCAAGGGATTGGCTCAATAGACAGTGTGCAGCATTGTGGAATTAAGCCCAATAGACTATAGAAGCAGGGAATAGTCAGAACACATCAATGCCCAGCCTTGCCTCTTCCCTCCTTTGGCTCCCCCGACATGTGCTGGGGACTGGGAAAAGGGCCAGATTAGAGCCCCTTTGGCAGTAGAAGGAGCCTTTACCTCGGGGTATTCCACAGAGAATATTTCCACCCCTTTACAGGCCCTTACGCCTCTGGAGTGACATAATGGGGCCTTGGCACAATGTAGAGTTGGGCCCAAAATCTTTTTTGCAGAGCTCTAGAGAACTACAGCTACTATAAAATGTCTCAAATTGCACCAAATAGTAATGTTGTTATTCAGGATGCTAGCATGACTGAATCATTCACATTGTTTTTTTAAAGCTTTACTAAGTTGAATTTGGTCATAGTTGCTTTGCAGGATACATATAAAACCACCTGGATCCGCTGGCTTGTGACCAGAGGAGAAGATACGCTATAAATTTAAGGATCTGCCCAATGCTGATTTCCAAAAGGGTGAGAACTGAGAGGATCTCATTAATAAATCATTAATTTTTGGACTACTCCCATAGACAAGAAGTGCTAAGAAAAGAATCAAGGAGGAAACCCGGAAATGGTGCAATTTGGCCTCTGCTACCTTTCTTGTAAACTATAAACTGCTTCCTTTTACTCCTTGGCTAAAGTCTGATGTGTACAATAACAGGCCACAGCAAAAGTTGACCAACTAAAGATTCCAAGAAACATTTTTTCCTTCTCTTGTTCAAATGTTGTTCATATCAAGTATATAGTCCTGGGAATTGCCAAATCATAGAGATTGTCTGTTTCTGCCACTGTCAGCACAATGCTTCTTTCTGGCCAAAATGCCTGAAGAGAAGTTAAGTGGCAGAAAACTCTGGAAGTGAAAACTTGAACCTCCTCTTTCCTCTAAAAGAAAATCTGGAAACTATTTGTCATCCCACCTCTTTCCAAAGTGGCCCCAACCTCCAGCATTTGCTTATTTATCTTGGGCATTAGGTAATCCTTTATACTTATCACCAACTCTTCGTGAAATTAAATCATCTTTTCAACAGACTTTGGGGGTGGAAGAAGTGAATTTTGCCAGTACGGGCTTGTGAAGTTCTGGGGTACAATCCAAACCAGTAAGGGGCTGTGTCTCATAGACTTTAAGGTTAGAAGGGACCATCATGATCTTCTAGTCTGACCTCCTGCACATTGCAGACCACAGAACCTCACTCACCCACTCCTGTAATAGACCGATAACTTCTGCCTGAGTTACTGAAGTCCTCAAATCATGATTTAAAGACTTTGAGTTACAGAGAATTCACCATTTACACTAGTTTAAACCTGCAAGTGACCCATGCCCCATGCTACAGAGTAAGGTGAAAAACCTCCAGCATCTCTGCCAATCTGACCCAGGGAAAAATTCCTTCCCAACCGCAAATATGGCAATCAGACCCTGAGCATGTGGGCAAGACCTACCAAGCAGATACCTGGGAAAGAATTCTCTGTAATAACTCAGAGCCCTCCCCATTTAGTGTCGAGTCTCTGGCCATTGGGAATTTTTGCTAATGCCAGTTGCCGATGGGCTACATGCCATTGTAGGCAGTCCTATCATACCACCCCTTCCATAAATGTATCAGGCTCAGTCTTGAAGCCACTTAGGTTTTTTGCCCCCCTCCCGCTCCCCTTAGAAAGCTGTTCCAGAACTTCACTCCTCTGATGTTTAGAAACCTTCACCTAATTTCAAGCCTAAACTTGTTGATGGCCAGTTTAAATCCATTTGTTTTTGTGCCCACATTGGCGCTTAACTTAAATAACTCCTCTCCCTCCCTGGTATTAATCCCTTTGATGTATTTATACAGAGCAATCATATCTCCCCTCAGCCTTCTTTTGGTTAGGCTAAACAAGCCAAGCTCTTTGAGTCTCTTCTCATAAGATAGGTTTTCCATTCCTTGGATCATCCTAGTAGCCCTTTTCTGCACCTGTTCCAGTTTGAATTAATCTTTCTTAAATATGGGAGACCAGGATTGCACACAGTATTCCAGATGAGATCTCACCAGTGCCTTATATAATGGTATTAACACTTCCCTGTCTCTACTGGAAATACCTCACCCAATGCATCCTAGGACTGCATTAGCCTTTTTCATGGCCAAATCACACTGACAGCTCATAGTCATTTTGTGATCAGGCAATACACCCAGGTCTTTCTCCTCCTCTGTCTCCTCCAACTGGTAAGTCCCCATCTTATAGCAAAATTCTTGTTGTTAGTCTCTAAATGCATGACTTTGCACTATTAAATTCCATCCCATTTCTATTACTCGAGTTTAAAAGGTCATCCAGATCTTCTTGTATGATATTCCAGTCCTCCTCTGTATTGGCAATACCTTCCAACTTTCTCTCACCTCCTGCCCCACAACCTTAGATGCCTCACTATGGCTTACTGTTGTAGCTCTCAACCTGGGCCACTCACACACAGCCTACCAGCATGCAAATCACACCCTGAATGTCTGTGTATAGCTACAGTCCTGGTCCAGCAACTCTGACCCCAGCAGCCTGTCAGCAACAGGCCAGCCACACTCTAACTTTCACCAGCCTTGGTTATGACTTGCAGGGTGACCCCAACACACTCCCAGTCCTGATTTTTCCCCAAAACGTGTGTTCTGCACTGTCCAGCCCCTCCTGGGCAGTTCAGATATAAAAAGTCCGTTGCGCCTGTAAAGGGTCAATATTCAACCATTTGCGACTTTAACTGGAGTTACCAAACAGATCAGTTTAAACACAACACTGGATTAGTTTAGATTAAAAATAAAGCACATTTATTTAACTACAAAGAGAGAGATTTTAAGTGGGTACAAGTACAAGATATTAAAGTCAGAAAAGGTTACAAGAGAAATAAAGATAAAACTCTTTCTAGTCGCTGAAACTTAATAAGCTAGACTTGGTTCAAGGTAATATCCCAGCAACAGAGCTGACCAAATTCTTTGATCAGGATCTCCCCACAAAGTCAAAGGGCTGGTTCCTTTGTCGTCTTAGGTGGAGAGAGAGAGAACCTGGTGTGTTTTTGCCCCTCACTTTTATAGTCCTGTCCCCCTCTGAAATACATTTTCCTGAGGGTTACCCCTAGATAAAGTTCATTCCAGCTGTGAAGAAAGAAACAGGGAGTCTCGTGGTAAAAGAGGTTCCATATTGTTGTTTGCTAAAATGCAGATCGATTTGTTGCCCCGCTTTGTTGCCAAAGAATGGCCATTTGACAAGTGATTGCCAGTCAACTTGATGACACCTGGCTAGAGGTATCAGCTTATCCTTTGTCTTTGAGAAATCGGTTTACCCACTCCCCAGACTAATCTGGTAAGCACATTTGTAGTCATAATTTCAGTTTATGTTCATAACTCCTAATAAGTATTTCGCACATACATTACACAAGAATATTGATGATCAATGTGTCACTAGCTTTTAAGTGATACCTCACAAGGCATATTTTGCACAAAGATTATTACACTAATGTGTAGGATGTTTATACAG